AACAAAGAAAAAAAATGTATCCGTAACTTAACTGTTCTCTTCTTAATTTCGTTTTTCAAAAATGAATATACACAAATTGTTGTAAAATATTTTTATTTTTGTTACATGTAAACAATTTTGTAAAATTAACATAATCTCGACACGGAGATAATAAATATCTAGATCACAAAAAAATGATTTTATAATTTAGCCTTGTGGTGTCAATTCTGTCAATAACTGGATCCTTCACTTAAATATTTTCTCCCATAGTTATTTGTATTTTAATTAGCCAGTTTTTCAGTGGAGGACGTAGTGAAGGCATGTCAGGTGCCCCTGTGCTTGTTCTGCAAGGTTCATATTTACATTCATCCATTAATTTATTCAACTACTAAGCATGACATATTACAATTGAGAAATCACATTTACTACGCATTGTGGACCCGCCTAACCAGTGTTGGTTGTTTTGAGTGGTTGGCCCAAAGTTAATTAACGATACTGAATATAATTGGTTACACATGTCAAAACATGTTTTAGAATAGGTAAGGAGTTGATTGGAGGGAAGGAGATTATCAGGTGATCTATGGCAGGGTGAGATCAGAGGGATTGTTATGTAGAGATAAATCAAAATACAGGGTGTTAATGATGGTAGTTTCAGAAACAGAAATAAGCTATTAAAGTTTCAGTTATTTTAGTTCTTTTATATAAATTTAAACACAGGATATACAGATAGGTTTTTCGCATTTAAACCTCTCACAATTCTCAAGATAAATATTGTAGATTTAGTTTCTTTAAGCTCAATTTCAATTTCATTCCACATTTTAGGAAACATTTCTAAATTGTTGTTTAAAACCCGTTTTAATTTATATGATTTTGTTCTATTTGGTTCAGCTTAAGACTTAAACATATTTTGGAAGGAAAAGGGAAGGTTATCATTAAAGTATCCATGCATGAATGTCAGAAAACAAAGTTTGTTAGATAGTTAAGATAGTTAACATTACAACATTAGATCCCCTTCATATTGAAATTTCCATTTTAATACATAGTTTTAGTGTAGTGTAATAGTAGTTCCCAAAATTGGAAGTTATTTATCTTTTTTTTCAAATTCTATCCTCTGTATTAGAGCTCATTAAATTAAAAAATAGATTATTCAGTTTGGTTGATCTCCACTTTGAAGGGTGAAGAGTCGCCATGAGTCCGGAGTTCACAGAGGAAATTGTTTTCAAACATGTTTCAAATCTTGAAAGAGATTTAAATTTCAAACTCATTGGTTTTATGCTATATCTAAATACAACCTCCTAGCCTTTTCATGCATAATATTAAGGGAATAGAATAATCTCATTAAATGTTGGGTGTTATATTACTTTTTAAAACTTTTGCAGGCCCTGGTTATGTGGTTACAACTCATATGCAAATGCAATATGGAGTATGGAAAATTGAATATTATGAAGTGTTTACCTATAGTGGAAACCCAGTATATCAACACAATGAAGATGAAACTTTAATTTTTTATCTGGGGGTAATATACCTGCATTTTATACATCAACAATATTAATAAGAAAAAAGCATTAGTTTCATTCTTTTTCAGATACAAAATGGAGGCAATGGAGACACATAAACATAAGGCCTCATCTCCTATGCGTTTCAATAAAAAGAAGGTTGAGTCTATGGTGTCAAGGGTGTATCAAGCCAGCTGGGAGAAAACATTTCTCTGGGTGAAACCTAAAGAAGGTACATACTAAATGTAGGGGTGCATGAGAGGGGGGGAAGTTTAACATGTATGAGCGTTACTGTTGAATAATTGATGGTAATGTTTTCCTCTTCATTTGGAGCTATGGGTTGACATTTTTTTTTTTTTTGGGCAGGTAACATACATCTTGCCAGATGCATGTACTGCAATACTACACTAGTAGCCCACAAGAGTGGTCTTGAAAAACATCAGAAATGTTCATCAATACAAAGAAGGTTTTGATTTAAATCTCAGCAAGGTCTTAATTACTTTTACAGCTTTATTATTAATAAACATTTAAATAGGTTGGAGCTAAACTTAAAGTAAATATTCCTAAGAACTGTCAGCCCAAGATAGGGCAATTACTTGGCTCAAACGCCTTTGCAGACAAGGTTTTTTATCATTACTCAAAGGGTGCTTTTACCTAATTATTTATACTTAACACTGATTTCAAATTTACAAGATAAAATGATAAAAAAATGGATAAATCAGATAAAGATGGCTGAAATCACATGGAGCATCCAGGTTGTAGTTCATCACTCCTTAAGAATTGTTAACCATCAGACGATTATCTTGTAAGAGGAGGGGAAGGGGAGCATTCTGGAGGACATTAAACTTTAAAGGCAAGATTCTTATTAAAGAAAATAATTGGAAGAAATTCATCTTTCATGTTATTACATTCTCTGTAAATGTTTCTTGCTAAGAATTTTCAATGATTTAGGACTAAGACTACTAAAAATCTAACAAGTGTTGTTTCTCCTGCCTTGAACTATAGTTTAAAGGAAAAGCTAATGGGAAAGGACTTAACCATTTTAATTGACGAATCCACTGATGTGGCGTGTAAGAAGATTTGAGCAGTTTGTGTTAGGTAAATAAAACTAAAATTCTATAAAACAGTTGCAGTAAACCTTTATCTTTGTAATTTGAATTTCTTTGACTAAATGATGGAATTTTAATAAATTCAATGTTATGATAAATAAAATATATGTAATGTGTTTTAGATATTACAGCGAAGAACTGGGCCAAGTAGTTCATGAATATCTAGGGATTGTTGAAGTGGTTAAAACTACAGGAGAGGAACTTTTTAATGCTCTTCAAGAGTTTATGCAGAAAAGTTTCAACCTCAGCTTCAATAATTGTCTAGCCTTTGCTTCTGATGGAGCAAACAATGTGGCAGGTATATTGTTAATTGTATTTCACTAGCATTTTTTCACAATTTTATTCTTTTATTTAATTTTTTTTAAAAATGAAGCAGTCTACATGTAAATTTTACAATTCTCTTGTTAAAAAATTTTAATATTAGTTTATTTATAAATCCAAGTGTATTTAAAAAGAACTAAAGTTAGATTATTTCTTACAGGCAAGAATAACTCAGTTTGGTCCAAAATACAATATATAAAATATCTGGATGTAGAAAAATGAAAACATTTTTTTTCCAGCAAAAACTATCAACATGTAAAAATTTTATGAGAGTCCTAAAACATATTTTGGTTTTAAGAGAGGTTAATCCTTCATGCCGCCAGGTTAAGTGTGTAATGCACAGCTTAGCCCTGTGTATTGAGCATGCATTTGAGTAAGTTCCAAGTAGTGTCATTATGTTAATGTGCAGGATTCCTGCACACTTCAGTCAGTCCTCTCTAAGAAGAGAAAATTACCTGGAAGTTTCATCCAACTACAAAGAGGAATGACTTAATTAACTTTAATCTTTATTCAGAATAATTATAAAGTATTAGAATACTTTATTAGAATATTAAAGATAAAGTTAAAATCTAAATAGCTTGCTGGTGAAATGGATGACTGTGTTGAGGAGATGGGACTATCAGAAGATGCTTTGCCAAATCCTTTTATGAAGTTCAGCAAGACAAGGGACATTTAAGAATGTTATATTTTAATACTTTTTAAAGAATCAGAAAAATTGATATACCTCTGTAATAAAACAAATACAACATTCTAAATATCTTGTAGGTTTCTTGTCAAGGGTAGAGTAATGAAAAGAATCTACAAAATCAGATCAGCCCTTCTGAAGTACTTTGAAGAATTTGAAAAGAATGCTTCGTCCATGCAGCAGCATGAGGTCAGGACCCTTATAAACATGCAAAGAGATGATGCCCTATTCCTGTTGATAGGATTTCTTTATCCTGTTATTGAGTACAAGTCCCTCAATGCAAAGTTTCAGACTGAAACTACAGATCTTTTCTTCTTAGAAGACAATCTAAACCTGCTGTACTCAAGCATATGGCGTCGGGCATACAGGAAGGATCATAAAGGGCAGGAAAAGAAGCTTCATGTGTCTAGGATAGACCTGAGTGCCCAGTTTAAATCCAGAAGCTCTGAATTGATCAAGTCAAAGAAGATGACTGAGGAACAGCTCTGATATATCCTGGAGAATGGAGCTGAGTTCCTCTATGAATTAATTGAACTGACAAAACTTAGAATGCCGGAGACTCAAGTGTCCTTAGCAGCATATTCCAAGATGCTCCCTAAGAATATTGTAAACCCATCATCAAAGCCCACTTTCGATCAACTTCCCTTTAAAGAGTTCATTCCTGAAGGTGATTAAGAGAAGGTTGAGGATCAACTCAGGAAAATTGATCTCATAGAGTGGGGTGAGGAGGATGAGATTAATCCAAACTCTATGAACCCTGTTCAGTTCTGGGTAGCTTTGAGGGAATATGAAAGAGGGGGAGAAAAGGTTTTTAAAGACCTGGCTGTTCATGCTCTCAAGATATATACTATACCTTGCTCCACTGCATTTGTGGAGAGAGTTTTCTCAATAGTTACTTATCTTAAAACTAGACTACGAAACCGGATAAAATCCCCATTACTTGATTTTTTACTTGTTCTTAAGTGCCACCTGCAGGCATTTAATTTTTTTATATAGATGCTTGTTTTCTTTCAGGGGCTAAATGTTAATAGTATCGGGGATGTGTGTAAAATAAAACTTGGAATTATCTAAATTGTTAATTGCCTGCAGGCTCGCCATATTTGCTGTTATCAGCTAAAAATTTCAAAACCTATGTTTGACAGGTTTAATGTAGGTATGTATGGGACAGGACGGGGGAGACACATAGGACAGGGTATACAGGAAGAAGAATTAGGTCCAAAAGGACCGGCAGTAGATGACAGGCAGGAAGGACTGGAAGGTCAGGGATGGCAGGGAGGACACCCCCTTATATTTGATGAGGATGAGGAAGTCCTCCTAAGAATTGTTGACTATTTTTTTTAATATTTTGTAATATATGCACATATATATAAATTTGTATTATTTGTTTAATTTCAGAAATAAATGAATGTGATCTAACTGGAATCTGATATAGATAAATCAATATCAAGGTATTTTTCCTAAAAAATACTTAATTTTAAGGGATTTTTAAAATTTGTTTTCTTAAATAGAACTTATTTATCATGTACTCAGTACCATGAAGGTATGGAATTTTTGGTTAATATTGGGAATTTTTAGGACTGAGATTGGGAATTGTCTTATCCAGGAGTTGGCAACGCTGTCAGTTGCCTGCTTTCTCTTAAGCAAAACCTACTATGTAGTAGTCTCAAAATTTCAGCTGGGGAAGCACTTGAGTTTAGTTACGCATTTTGTATCCTACAGGGGAAGCTGAAAACTAAACTTCATCTTCAGCTTGGAGCACTGAAAGAGGAGTTTAACTCCTCGTGGGAATGCAAGCCATACACAATGATACCAGTTTTTTACTCGTCCAGACAGGACTGGACTGCCATGGAAGATACCTCTCAAGAGAGCTTTGAGGGATCACAATTAATTCCCCTAACTGGGAAACAGTATAAAATGAAGGAATACAGGGTGAAATCCCCTATACTCTTCTTTCTTCAAACCTCCTTACCTCTCTCCTACCTGCTCTACAACTCGATGTTTAAAGAAACTATTTGGAAAGGCCTTAAAGTGTAAAAACAAGAAACAAGAAGCAAGAAGAAAAAAGAAATTGCACAGACTAAAGTGGAAGGGAAATCTCTTGACAGTAGAGAGAGGTGCTTAAAGCAAGATAAACAGGAAAGAAGAAGAAAACTTTATACATGATTGCTTAAATACAAGAAACATAATTTAAGACATATTTAAAACACTACTGATTTTAACTGGATATCAAATAAGTTAACTGATAAACTGATGAAACATGATAAACTAATTGAATGATTTATTAGAAAATCAAATGTGTATATAGTGTGTTCTGTTGTGAAGGTATTGTTGATTTATTTCTCTTTGGAAGAAGCTGATTCTGCTGGCACCTGATCCTCTATAGATGTAAATAGCCCCAAAATCAAAATTTGGGTTATATGTCATTTTTTCCGTGCGTCTGTGCGC